AAAAAAAAAAAAAAACAAAACTGGAGTTGTGGACTACACTAATGTCAGCTGGTTGGTTTGGATACTGAACCATAGTTTTGTAACATGTCGCCATGGAGAGAATTCCGGTGAAAGATGCTCTATTTGGGCAAAAACCTGTGAATCTATAAAATTTCAAAAGGAAAACTTCAGCACACACAAAAAAGGATAAATCTGGAAGGACCTCAATTAGGAATGAACAGGAAAAATATTTACAGTTGTAAAGTGGGGATTACTTACAAGTGGCTAGGGAAGTCCACATCAACATTGTTTAATTCACAAAAGGGAATATATTGGCTTATATTCCAGGGAAGGGTATTAGGATGGAGAAGAGGCATAGAATTAGAACTATAGGAACTGGGATGTCAGGGCCTGGGAGTGTGGTCACCATTTCAAGCTCCCTCATCTCCACCAGCCTCTACTCATCTTCAGGATGGGTCTGCTCCTCTCCTCAGACCCCCCTCCATGTGGTAAGGTCCTTGGCCAGGTGCAGACCCAGCTTGTTGACAAGTTGGGCATGAGATGCTGCTATTACTTCCAGAAAAGAAACCTGATTGCCCAGAAGTGCTTGAGCCTGCCTCTGTGACCAAGTTTGTCATTACAACCCACAAAAGTCAAGTGGAAGTAGGTTTAGGATTCTCTGCTATCACAGTAAGAAATCTGGGCTGGTTGCCCATGGAATCATGGCATATAAACAGCTTCATATCCTTCTGAGTCTGGAAACTGGTTCAGAACCACAAAGGTACAGTAAGTACAAATAGTCCAAAATGTGCCCAAGACACCTGGGATCCTCATCAGACCAAGTCATATAATGAGCTAGTTGCAGAAGCAGACTTTCAGAATATGAGAGCTAGACAAGGCTGTAGGCATGCAACTCCTCATTTTCTCGATGTGAAGAGTCCTTTGGGTCTCAGAGTCCTTGCAGAGAGGTACTTCCTGGACACTGGGAGCCTCTGGAAGCCTAGTTTAGGGCATTAGGGGACATATGGTCAACTGTTGATAATAGATGGACAACTCTTAAACCTCAGTAGAAATCACAAAGGAGGGAAGAAATAGCACTATAAGGTGACAGTCTTTTCCATCTATTTAATGGTCACTTTTAAACAATATCTGAGAATCCCAGTGCTAAAGAGTGTGCCACAGTTGGAGAAAGCATAAATAGACAAAACTCCTTTTAAAAAAGAATTTGAGGAATATAGAAACATATATCAAAAGCATAAAATCCTTGAACCCAATTGTTATTCCATGTCTTAGAAAGAAAAATAATTCCAAAATGGAAAAAAAAAGCTGTGTATATATGTCAGATTATCACAGTGTGACTTAGAAACAATTTAAATATCTAACAGGAATTTGATTAAATGCATTTAGATCTATTTACCTGATGAAACATTATGCAATTATTAAAATGTGCTAAGGGGGAAAGAGCAAGGCCCCAGTTGGAGGTATAGGATAAAAGCAATTATATTTAACCAAAAACTTATAATAATAATAATAATTATAATAGAAGAAAATTTGTCAACATTCTTAGTTATTTTAGGACAATGGAGTTGTAACCTGTAGAGTATTTTTATTTTCACTAGCCTTTGTATTTTCATTAGTAAGCTTTTATTTCTCATGTAGTGGGAAAAAAATTATATAATCAGGAATACTTCAGAAACCCCCCAAATCTTTATTTGCTTAATGAACAAAAACAAAAACAAAAAAAAAGGAAAAGAAGGAAGAACATCTTCCTACACCTGAGTGCACAACATGCAGAAGGCATCCCACTTTGTGTGCCTTCCTTTCAGGGGTATGGTCTTGGTCTCAGATGTCCCATGGCCCTATGGCAGTGTGGGTCAGGGGTTGGTGCTCTCCCGGGTTGCTCTGAGGACTCTGGGCACAGACTGGGTGGAGGCCATCTCTGAGAACATGAAACCATCCATTTGCCACTTTAATTCTCTTTTCTCCCATGTAAATGAATCCAAAGATACACATCTCCTAATGGCTACTTTCCCAGCAAAAAGCTGGATCAAAGGCAATGCCAGAAAAGATGGCTAGAACGTGATGAGTGTGCTACCTCCCTGCAGAATGCCATAATTACTGCCAGCCCCAGCGGCGGTCACCAGGGCCCTGCCCCAAATGGTAGAGGGTTGTATAAATAAATAAGCGACACTTGAAGAAGAGTGGCATCACGAGAATCTGTGCAGTGCCAGGCTTGATGGCTCACAGATAATGTGATTGGGCAGGACCAAGCCCTCTCCTTTCATGGAAAAACAATAAGAGAAGACTCTACCACAGGCCCTCTTGCATCGTGGTTTCTCAAGAAACCATACAGCTGGCCTTGCAAAAGGACTTGTAAGTCCTCCCAGACCAAGCCAGCTGGGGGTGGCACTGTGAGCTGGGCCAGTACTATATGAAAGGGCTGGCACGCAATCACAAGGATGTCTTGCTTTGAAGCTGTGAAGCTGGAAGACAACTTAGAGCTCACTTTCATGCGTCCCTCACATGCAAATGTCAGCTGTAGAGATGGCAACAAGGAACCAGTTACTGAACCTGTCCTAACTGCCCCTCTTGCTTCCACATGACCAAATACTCCAGCCAGGGATATGAGCACAAGCACATCCTGGGAGGCTTTATTGACAATAACGAGCCATAACCACTTCTGTGCCACAGCTTTTGATGCTCAGCAAAGAAACAGATTTGTAAATACAGTAAGTCAATTGACAAACACATAAAGATGCTAAAATACAAACTGATCATAAAACTCAAATCAGGGTATTTTCAGCTGTACCTGGTGCATGAAACCTCATCTGCAGAGCTCCATGCTCTCTCCCAGGCTGGGAAGAAATGCTGCTCAGACTGAGGGTTTATGCTCTTTCCAACAGAAACACTCACATTGTCTCTCACCTATACCACCCAGAACCTCCTAACTGGCTTGTGAGGTTCCAAGTTCACCTTCTAGTCCTGCCTCCAGTGGAAGGCAGCTAAGGTAGACTTGCTAAAATCCCAAGCTAAACATGTCACTCCCTTGTGCAAAATCCTTAAAAGGCTCCTTTTTGCCTAAATAACAGCTCGGATAACTTGACCAGTCATGGGAAACTCTTCTGGAGCTGGCCCCCACCTCCTTGTCTGGCTTTACCTTGCCACTTCTCTCTCCTTCTAGAGCTGTGCAGCCCAGCAACAGGTAACCCCTGGCACTTCTGGCACAGCAGAGAGTTTCTGGCTTGCATGACTTTACACTTTTCTGTCCTCTATCATTCTTCTCCTTCCATCAAGTCCTCCTCTGAGGACTGGGCTGGGCTGGTTTTCATCTCCATCAGAACCCAACTGAGAGGTTACCCGCTCCAGGAATCTTCCTCCACTGTCCCCAGCAGGCCGGTCAAATGCCCCTTTCTGTGGTCTCAGAGCATCCACACCTTTCTCCTGTAACACTTACCCTGTCATATTCTGTCCATCTGTTTACACTGGGCTGTAAGTTCTTTGAGAACAGATACGGCCCGGCACAGAATGAAGATATTCAATAACGATAAATGAGTGCATGTTCAGCAGTTTTGGATGCACCTTTCCAAAGAAAAGGAGTTTACTCTGAGGTGAGGCCCTGGCTACCGTGTTGCTTACCCTCCACACATGTGTCATTCCCAGAATTCAGAGATTGGAGAGGGAGACGGGGCTGAATATGGGTGGCCTGGGGCTGAGAAAAGGGCATCCCTGGCATTGATTGCTTTCAATGACAGACAAGAGGTAGATCCTGCCAGTCCTCCCCCCAACCTCACCTGGGAAGTGCAGCCTGCCTCTGAGCAGATTTCTCAACTTGGAAGGTGAGATTCCAAGTGAACTCTACGCTCTCAACTGTGTAGCCAAGGCAATTTGTGTCACCTCAGTGGGAGAAGGGGTCTCAGTTTCTTCTCCTGCAGAATGAGAAGAGTCTCACTGAGGTGTGGAGAGGAGTGACCTGTGAGATGGTATATGCAAAGCCCTTGGCATGAGAAACTGAACTTAGAAAGCCAGAACACAAAAGCACTCCGGAAGCTGGTCAGCGCTGAGAGTCCTCACCCCTATCTGCTGTGGCACCTGTTCTGTTCTTCCATCTGCTGAGTGGTACAGCAGGCTTGATGGGGAGAGAGGGAGTTAAAGAAAAGGAAGGCAAATATC